TATTCTCTTTAAAAGCAAAAAAGCAGGGGCTGAGGAAATAGCTCAGTGGTATAAGTGCATGCCTGGCAAGCACAAGGTCCTGAGTTCGATCCCCAGTACCAAAAATAAATTAAAAATATCAAAATAAAACATTTTTTTAAAAAGCAAAAAAGCTTTAAAACTATAGAACGAAAAAATAAACTTAAAGTGAAAGAAATAAAGAAAATAATTTCAAGCGCATTGAAGAACATGGAATCAATTTTAGTATATCTTTGCATTCCATTTATTTTATGTAGAATTATCTTACTTGCTTCTTGACAAATTTCATTAGACTACTTGTATGAGCTACTTTAACTAGATTTGATCATGGAATAGAATCTAAAAAGACATAAAATAGTCTGCCTGCCCATCTGTCTGTCTTTTTTCTATTTCTTCTCCAAGGAACCACCTTGAACTTTGGATGCCTTCTGATTCTTGGTTAAGAAAACTGGCAGTAGAGAAAATAGTGATGACTGTCAGCCAGCTGGTGCCATTCTTTGGCTGGCATGAGTTAGTATGCTGCTACGATATGGCTTCTGGTCTGGTACTTCATTTGAAGCAATTAAATAAAGGTGCGAAGATCTTGTGAAGGAATCTGGCCACCACCATCCTGATCAGAGATACTTTTGAACTCCCCTCCAGCAAGCTGCACTGGGGATTCATAACACTCTCCACCCTGCTACTCATAGTAGCCACTACTCCCTGCACTTGCCAAAGCTTCTGCCTTGGGCAACTGTTGCCACTTGTGCTTTCAAGTGTTGTCTTTGGCAGGTAGCCACAACCCCCTCTCACTGAGCTCCCCCTTCCCCATGACCCTACAAAAGACCCCATAGCCTGTATGTGAGCAGCTGGTATAGTCCTTGGTGCCTGTGCGGTCCCTCTCAGGTTTGTTATGTAATAAACCTGTCCAATTGAACTAGTACCTCTGTTTCTTCTTTTTCTTTTGACTCATACCATAACTTCTGAATTCTTCCTAACATAGTTTTACCTTGATTTGCTGGCCTAGCTACTTAAATAAGAATTTACATTGAAGACATATTCTTAAGATTTTTGAATAAAAAGTGACTTGTTATTATTTATACTAGAGATTGTTTCCTTTGAGTAGTAGAAATTTAGATGATTGATAACAATGAATGAGACATGTTAAAATACATACAAACATGCTAAAAAATCCTCCTGTACTCAAGACATTTTGTTGACCTGTAGCTTCATATTTTTCCCCTTGCAACCATGGGATTGACATATGATTAGAGTTTAATATATTTAGACTAATGAATTAGTACATATTCCAGAAAGAAGCAGTGAAAAGGTATGTTTCATATCCTGACTTAAAAAAAAAATTCAGAGCAGGTGTGGTGGTGTATACCTGTAATCCTAGCACTTTGAGGCAGGAGGAACACAAGTTTGAGGCCTGCCTGGGTAACTTAGTGAGACTCTGTCTCAAAAAGAAAAGAGCTGTGAATGTATGTACCTTACTGTGAAGACTCTGGGTTCAATTCCCAGTGAAACACACGCACGCACGCGCGCGCGCGCGCACACACACACACACACATTATGTTGCAGGGAAAATTTAAACTTGAAACAAGGATTAGTTAACTGTTCATAATATAAAGAAATTTAAGAGGACAATCATTATGTGACAATTAAAAATAAAAATTTAGGAATGAGTGTAGTGTATATGGGTATAATCTTAACACTCAAGAGGGGGAGGGAAGACAGAGAGAGAGAGAGACGGAGGGAGGGAGGGAGAGAGAGAGAGAGAGAGAGAGAGAGAGAGAGAGAGAGAGAGAGAGAAAGTTTGGGTAGTAAGTGTTATGATCTGGGTCAAAAATGTCCCCTAGGGGCTGTGGACTTAGCTTAGTGGTACAGCACCTGCTGCCTGGTAAGGGCAAGGTCCTCAGTTCAATTCCTGGTACCTCACTAAAGGAAAAAAAAACTACCCCAGAAAGCTCCTGGGTTAATGGATTAACCCAGGAATGAGTGCATAGCTGAACAGGTTATCAGAAGGTGGATTTACTTGGAGTGGATAGTTATGAGGGCATGTGCCCTTCACAAAGGATGTCTGGGGCCCAGTCCCATTTTTTCAGTCTCTTCCCCTGTTTGCTTGCATTTGTTCCATGGGGTGAGTAGCCTCTGCATGGCCCTTATACCATGGTGGCTTTTTTTGTTGTTTGTTTTGTTTTTTTACCTTGGAGTCAGCTGATCATTGACTGAGACTTATCAAACCATGAGTAAAATAAACATTTTCTCCCTTAAATTGTATGTGTCAGGTATTTGGTCCCAGCAGTGAGAAGCTAATACAGGTAGCAACTGGGTCCTAGTTCTCTCGCTGACTCATAGCATATTTGGGTAAGTTGCCCTTTCTCTAACTTCCTGAAATAGAGAAGCCTGTAAAGGATGTGCTAATAAGATTACTGTGGTCATCTGGGACTCTGTGATGGTTTAAATATTTATATCCCTCTGACATTCATGTTAAAACTTAATCCCTAATACAACAATATGAAGGGATAGCTCCTTTACACGGTGATTAGTCCATGAAGGCTCTGCCCTCATGGATGAAATTAATGCCCTTATGGAAAATTTTGAAGTGATATGGTGGTACTGTGGTTTGAACCCAGGATCTTTGCATAAGCTACATCCCCAGATCTTTTTTATTTTGAGAAAGGATCTCACTAAGTGGCTACGTTGCCCAGGCTGGGCTTGAACTTTCCATTTGATTGTCTCAGCCTCCCAGAGCATTGGGATTGCAGGTATGAGCCACCATGTCTGGCAAACTTGAACTAGCTTTGTAAATTAGAAATAATTATTTAAAAGAAATTATCAAATTGACTTGGCCATGTGAATTATATATAAAATTATATGTATAATTATAATATAAAATAATAGACTAACAGAAATTTTATCTAAATTTGAATATTAAGCTTGGTGTTCCCAACCATAGTTTTTGGAAGAGAAACAAATTACTGTAAATTAATAGGTGAACCCACTGACAGCTAACTGAATGGAGTTCTGTTTAGAAACTTTGGAAGAAGAAAAATGCTCATTATGGAGGTGAGATTTCCTATTCTACTGAAAAATTATATAGATAGTATGGCTGGGAAAATCTTCAATGTGAATGGTAGATTTTACTTTTTAAGGGGGAAAAAGCCATAATTTTTGTTTAAATTATGGTCTCTATGCTATCTAAGTGTGCTGGAATGGTTCCTTTTCATTTTATTTGTTTATTGGAATGGTTCTAAATGATGACGCACTCATTAATGTCTTTACTTGTGAGACAGGAGTGAGTGAGAGGGAGAGAGGTGGTTAGCACTGTTAGGTAATTTGAATGAGCTTGAAGGGATTCTATATATATATGCACACACACACACACACACACATATATATATATATATATATATATATATATATATGTATTTTTAATGTATTTAGTACATGGTCTCACTACGTAGATCGGACTTTCAGCCTCCCCAGCACTGGGATTACAGGTGCCCTCCACAATGCCCAGTCTCAGTGGCCTTCTCAGCAAGCCCCGGGGTTGGGGCCGGCACGGCACTCCTGGAATCGAACCCCGGTAGCTGCGCTCTGCCTAAGCAGGCGCTTTATCCCGCTGAGTTATCTGGCTGGCCCAAAGGGATTGTATTTGAAATAGAATATAGTATAGAAAAATATTAGGAAAGGTGTTCAAGCAATGCTTCAGACTTTTCATTGCAAAGTAAGTATGATTTAGCATTTAAAAATTCATTACAACACACTTGGAAGAGAGTATTTGAGTGTTCAAATTACTTCGGAGAAGGTGGCCAAGAATTTATCAGGAGTGGTGACTGGTCTGTCAGGAGAGCTCAGGTTGTTCACCTGACCCTTGTAAGGGTGCACAGCTCCACAAAGGGCAGGACTTGAGAGGAAGAGGCTGGGGCACTTAGCAGGCCAGGTGGGGGAGGAGTTTCAAATGCTGACACAGAGCCTGTGGGGAGAACTTCTTCAAACACTCAGCTGTCATGACTCAACTCAGGAGTACTTTACTAGTCCACTAGATTGAAATGTGTGTGTTTAGGAAACAGGCAATTATAAGGCTAAAGCATATGTTAGGGAGTCACTAAGCATAGTGTACTTGATGTGTAGCAGCAAAACCCAAACGTGCTGACTCCCTAACTATGAAGTCGGGCTAGCAAGTAACTCTATAAAGGAAAAAAGGAGGTGGTGGACTGCCTCGGAGTTTCCTATTTTCTGGGTTAGGAGGCATCTTAAGTTTTGAATAGGCTGCACTACCAGGGAGACACCTGACTCCCGCTCCCCCACCCCCAATCGCCTATTCTAGAAATTAGGCAAGGTCCTTTCCCACGGCGGCGTGCAGGGGACATCAGCCCACACTTTCAGTGTGGTGTCATGATAAATTCCCAAAATATTACATGACGATTGTCTTTTAATAATTCCCTGAAACCTATAATAAAATTACAATGTTTTATTAAAAGTAGAATCAGAAACATGCCGTATTTATATCTGACATTCAATCTCTACATTAAAAGATCCCAAGAATCATATGGTGGGGGCATCAGGCCCCCCAATGAGAGAATCTTAAATCAACAATATGTTTTAATTAAAAAAATTGAAATACTATTCTTTTCAACTTAAACCTAATAATGTCGATGAGGTTTCTTGTCAGAATTCTCCTGAGCAGAGGAAAGAACAGGAAGGGCGGCTGTCTGAAGTTGCCTCCTTCAAGGGGGTCAGGCCAGAGAAAGGGCAGCAGGTGTCTTTTTCTTCTCTCCCTTTCCTCCAGGAGGCAGGGAAGGAGCGGCTGCACAGTCGGACTTGTCTGTCTCCGGAGGGATCCCGGAGCGGAGACCACAGCTACGGGGGGACAGGGACCTCAAACAGGAGGAGACCCCACCGGCCGCGGTGGGCGCGCCGGTCCGCCCCGATCCCAGGGTGCACCGCGCCCCCTCCCCGCTCGCGCCCCGCCTCCCTCGGCCGGCTCCCTCCCTCCTGGCTCCGGGAGGCGGGGACGCGGCGGCGGATTCTCCAGTCGCGTCTTTCTTGCTTACTGTGGAACCCGGCGGTGGCGGCACCTTTGGAGGCTGAGCCGCTGAGCTGCGAGCAGAAAATCAGAAGTCTGAAGGACTGACGGCGGAGCGGACAGGCGCAGACGCGCGGACAGCCGGCGGACAGCTAGACGGCCCGAGTCGCCTCAAGTTGCGCCATGAGTTGGGGCACGGAGCTGTGGGTGAGTGCGCGAGGGGCGCCCCGCGCGGACCCCGACTCGCGGGAGCTGGGCTGGGAGAGCGCGGCAGGCAGGTCGGCGGCGGGGAGAGCGCCAGCCTTGTCTGCCTGGGCGGGAGCAGGGCGGGGGTCCCGCGCCTCTTTGTGTGCGGAGCAGTCCTCCCTCCTCCGCCGGGGGTCTAGGGGCGGCCGGTCAGCGCTCGAGTCTCCGCCGCCCTCCTCGGCCGGGACGGCGGCTCGCAGCTCCGGGTCCACTGCGAACCTCCCGCGGCCACTCTCCCGCCTCCGCCTTCACTTTCTGGACGCCTGCCGGGCGCCGCCGCTCTTCCCTCTCTCCCTTTGTATCCCCCGCCTGGAGGCGGGGGAGGGGCCCATTGTCCTGAAGGGGCGCTCTTCGTGGGCCGGGAGGGCGTCCTTCGAGAGACCCCCGCCCCGCCGAGGGTGTGCCGGGCTGGGGCGGCGCCGGCCGGGCGGCGCGGGGAGCCGGGCGGCGCCGGCCTAGTCCCAGGTAGGGGGAGCTGGGCGGCTTTTGTTTGGAGCTCGAGCTCCAGCCGGCCAGGCCCAGCCCACACGCCCATTTCCCTCTCTGTGCCTCTCAGCTCTGGACCGTGGAGCTCGCGGATGCCGCTGCGCCACGCTCGCTGCAGCCTTCGGGCCAGTGGGTCGTCTTTGTCACCCGAGTTAGATTAAGTGATTGTTGGGAAAAGCTCATTTTGCCAAAAGGTGTGAATGGCTTCCCGATTGCTTTATTTCCCTCTGTTCTTTATTCCCACTCGTCCTCCCTGTTTTTCCTCCTTGCCTTTCTTGGGCCCCAGAGGTTCCAGACAATGCCCAGTGTCTGGCCGAGGTGCTAGCGGAGGGCAATAGGTCGGAGATTTAGCTCGGAAACCGCCCAGCTGGGGTGGAGGTGCGGAGGGCAGTGATTTCTCAGGTGCGCGGGGAAACTCACGGCTTGGGGGCGCTGTCCCGAGATCCGCTGAGCTCCGGCCACGCCCCTTTTAATCTCACCTGTGCATATTTTTCCATTCCTTTTGTTTGTGAGAATCATGTGAAATCGCTGAAGAGAAAAGGAAGAAGTAACTTTTAAGTATGTGTGTGTTCAGTTAGGATGGAAATGAAGCAGATCGGGAATTGAAAGGTGAAATCACCCCCCTCTATTGTGAATTTTACAACTGAAAGGTGCTTTAGAGCTTATCTAACTAAATTCCTAGTTAGCCAACCCAGAACATTTCCCTACAACGTTCCAGACAACATGTTTGCCCAATTTATAAACGGATCACCTAGGAAAAAAATGCCTTGGTAATCTCTCTATTCCGTTTCTTAGATAAAATTAATGCTTTACAGATGGGGAGGATTGTATGTAAATAAACGATGTGAAATTCAACTCCTACATTAGATCTGAAGCATTATTTTTCGTTTTCCTTTTCCTCTCTGTGGTTGATTATAGTGTGTCATCAATAAACGAAAGTTGAATAGTTTTTATTTTCTATTTATATTAAAAGATGTTTATTTTTACATACTTAAGTGACCAGTGTCAGAGGAAGCTAGAAGGTAAGTAGATGCCTTTTTATTTAAAGTTTCAGAATGCTTTTTAACCCATAGGAAAACAGTGGAGGAATCTTGTTTAGTTTAACTCTGCTTAAAAATTTACTTTGTATCACACCGTAGAAAAAGTTTCAAGAAAAGGCAATAAAATAGTAAATACTAAAATGAAGTTTTTAAAGGTTTTTTAAGTAAGGATATAATACATTCAGAAGCAATTTTAGCCATCCAATGCCTCCAGTAATTTGTTTACTTTAAGCATTTAAGTGCCGTCAGCAGTTTGAAAAGGTAAACTGTAAGTAATATGGGAATGTGTGTTCTAATTAAAAATTGTTTTACTATTTGGGAGGCTGAGGCAGGAGGATTATAAATGACACTTATCCTAGGCAAATTCAGTGAGATATCTGTCTTCAAAAAATACGTATCCTTTAAAGATATATATATATATATATATCTATATATATGGCAGGAATGAAGCTTTGTGCTCCCTGATTTTGTCCCTAGTACTGGGGAAAAATAATTGTTTTATGTGTTTTAGAAATCTTTGCAAAATATTTTTAATTTTCTCTTAAATTTTTAAAAATTCTAAGAGGACTTGAGGGAAACGTTAGAAACTATTTATAATCAACTAATATCAACTGTGTATGTAGACCTTAGATTAACAGAAGTAGGTGTAGAGGACTATTGCTGAAAGTAGAAGAAACCTTAGAAAAATTAGACTCAATTTCTTGTTTTGAATAAGGGTATTATATTTCCAGTTGATTGGAATATAAACACCTATACAGTAGTCTTTTGCCATTGAGAAATTTTTTTACGTGTGCAGTATTGGGGATTGAACCCAAGGCCTTTGCATTAAACTACATCCTCTGCCTTTTTAACAGTTTTTAAAATTTTGAGGCAGGAACTCATAAGGGCCTTGCTAAATTGCCCAGGCTGTACCTGAACACACCGCCTCAGCTGCCTGAGTGCTGGGCTTGCAGACATATGCTATCAATCTTGATTTGTTTAAAAATTTGCTATCCAGGGATAATTTCCTCTGTTTCTGGGAATTAGAAGGTAGTTCAAATATCTGATTTAATACATAGGATTATGTAAAACTTTTTATGTCTTAGTTTCTCTATAATGGTTGGCCATTAGTTTTAAGAATGTATAATTTGAAAGATATTGTTATTTATATCATATTATTAGCTACTTTCATTTGACAAAACTTGCAATATCCTTCTGGAAGTCTTTGTAAAATGTGTATTGGGTAATAGATGAGGTAGATTCTTTTATTGTTATATTTTATAGATAGACATATTCATCATAGGAACTTTGTACCTGTACATGTTACATCATCCTACCGCTTTCTTTCCCATTCCACTCCAGCCTTCTTCCCCTCATTTATTTACAAAAGCTTAGTTTGCATTTTTTCCTTTTTTTTTTTTTTTAAATTGTTGTCCCTATTATTGCCCTTCTCATTTGAAGTTTCTTCCCATTTCCCAAATGCTATTACACATTTTGGTCATCATTTACACTTTCAATTTCTAACATTACAGTGTGGTATTTACACATATGTCTATTTATTTTACTTAAGAGTATTGTTTCAAGGTGCATTCATTTACCTAGAAATGTCTCAAGTGTATCCCTCTTTATGGCAGAGTAATACCTCATTGTATTAAAATAAACATTATCTTTATGCATCAGTTGATGGGCCTTTAGGTTGTTTCCAAGATTTAGCTATTAGCTGGGGAAATAGCTGAGTGGCGTAAGTACCAGCCTGGCAAGCTCAAAGTCCTGAGTTGAATCCCTGGTAACAAAAAAAAGAAAAAAAAAAAGTTCTTCCTCCAAGATTTAGCTATTATCTACTGTGCAGTTATAAATAAGGGTGTGCATATGTCACTGTGGTATCATGCTCTTCTTTTGGGAAAATGCCAAGAAAGGGCTTAGTTTGGGTCACATGGAATCTCTAGTTTTAGTTTTTTGAGGAATCTTCACACTGATTTCCACAGTGGTTGCACCAGCCTGCACTCCCACCAACAGTGAAGAAGAGTTCCTCTTTTCCCACAACCTGCCAGCATTTGTGGCAGGTGATTTCTTGATAATTGCTATTCTTGATAATATGCTTTCTGGATATGGAACCTCAAGAGTTGTTTTAATATACATCTCTCAAATGACCAGTTTTTATTATTTGCTATTTCTTCATCTGAGGACTGTATATTCATTTCAGATGCACATTTTTGGATTGGATCTTTAAGTCTGGGGGGAGTCCTGATTTTTTTTTTTCAGTTCTTTAGATAGTCTAGATGTTAATCCTTTGTCTAGAAGTAGTTGGCCAGCATTTTTTTTTTTCCCACGTTGTAAGGTGTCTTCACTCTGTAGTAGTTTCTTTTGCTGTGAATTTCAGTTGTTGATTCTTTGTGACAGTTTCTATATAATCAGGGCTTTGTACATAATGTTTTTGCCTACACTGATGTCTTCAAGAGTTCTACTTATTCTGTCATGCAATTGATTGTTTCTGTTTTATTATTTAGATCTTTGATTCATTTTGATTTTTAGTTTAGTGCATGCTAAAAGATATGGGTCTAGTTTTAATCTTTGGCATGTGGAAAGCCAGTTTTCCCAGCAAGAGGCTCATTTTCTTCCAGTGAAAGTATCTGATGTCTTTGTTAAGGATAAGGTGGCTGAGGATGTCGAGTTGTCCTGTACCTATTAATCTGATTCACTGATTCTGTGTTTTTTTTTTTTTTTTTTTTTCTTTTGCCAGTGCCATGCTGTTTTTATCACAGTAGCCTTGTAGTATAATTTCAGATCTGGGATTGTGATTCTCCT